CAGAAAAGGCACTTGCCTCCAAACAGGATGATCTGAGTTTTATTCCCAGGACCCACATTAGGTAGACGGCAGAAACCAACTCTCACAAGTGTGCGTGCATGTGTGTGTGTGCATTCATACATACACATATGATAAATAAAAATGTAATTGAACTTTTCTTTTAAATCTAGCAATGGCCAGATATGGTTCATAGTTCATACCTACAAGCTATGGCAGGAGGATCATCACAGGTTCAAGGTTAGCCTGGATTCAGTAGTAGTTCTAGGTCAGCTAGAGCTGCAATACTGAGACCCTGTCTCATCTCCACCCCAAATCTGATGACAGTGACTCTGTAACAACCCATAAAGCAGCTTCTGCAGAGCCCAAGTGGCTCTACTGTCTTCGATGACAAGTCTTTCCCAGTTAGATCAGGTTCTGCTATGTCCCTTTCCCAGGTGGTGACATTCTGTGCATATAGGCTTTCTGTCCTGCTGGACATGCCGCCACCAGCTTATTCTAGTCTTGACTGGAACTTTGGGGTTAGGGGAGGGACACCTGGTTGGCACAAACCCAGGAAGGGCCTGCAGGTTCTGCTGTGGACTTTTCGGTGGTTGAAGTCAGAGCTGCTGGACCGTTTTCCTGCGGTTATTAGGCTGGGTGTGCCCATGTCCTTTGTGGTCAGACACACATTTGCACGATAACGTTCAAGGCGAGCTAGCTGATGGTATGGATCAGGCTGCAGTTTCCTAGACGGGGCTTCCCCTTCTGCTTACATCTAAGCAAAGGAGCTAAGCCCTCTTTAAACCGCCAGCTCCTTCAGGCCGTGCAAGGGAATGGAACACTGCTGCAGAGTCACCTAAGCAGTCTGTTTTCTTTGAAGCTGGCATTGACGTTGCTACGCATTTGCATGGCCTCCCCCAAATTTCCCAGGCCTGCCTCCAGGCTTTTCTCAATGGTTTTAGCAGGAGGTTTGATGGGTGGGGGAGGATTTTAATTGCCTGCTTAGTGGAGGCCTACAACTGTACGCGGAGAGGAGATGAACCTTGTTACGCTGTCTGTCACTGCCACGAGTCTACTCTTCTTTCCTGTCCTATTATCTGCTCTGAAATCCCACGGCAGTCCCTTGGGAGGGCTACGCCAAGCTCAACTTTAAGATGTGGCTGAACATTTGAGAGAAGCGGAGCCCTGTGAGCTTGCTCACACATATGCTCTCCTCTGCAGTATACCAATAGAGCCTGCAAATGAATTCATAGCAGATGCTGCTTTGTTGTTGGGGGAGAAGAGAGGATCCACTCCACACAGGATTTGATTAGCAGGGAGGAAGATGACCTTTCCAGCAGGCTGGAGTTAACACCCTGTGGCTGAGCCACCCACTAATGACATGCTCCGTATCACAACAAACAAATCAAATGCCAATGTGAAGCACAACACATTGGGAGGGCACAAGGTCGACACCTTTCTGTACTTCCTGATGCAGGGCGAGTCCGTGTGCGCCCAGGGTCAGCCATCACATTGGTTTACAAATACAGCATTTTCAAAATGGCATCTTGGAAGGGTGTTAAGCTTCCTGGGAAGAATCAAGATGCACAAAAGAGAGCCAAGGAATCCCTGGGTCCCCAGACATGCCCTCTGGGAACAACCGAGGCCACATAATTGCCACCAAACAGAAAGAAGGTAGGAGGGTGCTTTTCAGGAGTCTGGAAGAAACCTTACCAAGACCGATTTCGTTGAGCTGAAGTCCATACGGAGAACCATTTTTGCTTAGGAATGCCTGGAAAATCTTGTCTTTGGCTTGGCCTATGGTGTCGCAGTCGAGAACATTGACTGAAATATTCCGACAGACATCGGCACTCTCGTTTTCTGGGATTTTCTCAAAGACGACATTTAATGCCTGGAAGAATACAAACAATCAGGTTTCGGAGTCTATTAGATAACTACAGCCTGAAAGGCTTCATAAAAGACACACCGTGGCAGAGGCCCACTAATACCTCTGTCAGCGCATTAGTGAACGGCGTATCGCATTATACTACTTTAATCTTTTCTCCATAATCCATTCTTTTCAGGGATAATGGAAAGGCAAACAGAAAGTTAAAACACTCATTATGGAGCAAGCATTGAATAAATATATTGGAGAGGAAAATATGTACATGCATAACAATTCTGCAAAATAATGGTGACTTTTAGTTTCATCCTAAAAAACAATGACTTGGAAAGATTCCATCGCCGATGAGCTCAGACTGGTGATTATCTTTTTTTATTAATGGGACCACAGAGTCCCAGAATTGAAGGTCCAGGTGACAGGAAAGGGTATGAGGCCCCTGTATTGATCTCACCAAGGAGGTCACTTTTTAATATGCAGCATTAATTATGGCGGCGTTCATCTCCCCCTCCGTCCTCAACATCCACAGTCAGATGTTTCTGAGTCCTCATTAAAATCCCAAGAGCCCCACCCTGCACTATTCTCCATGCATTAATTACATTCCTGTGCCATTGCTTAGGTTGTATCAGTTAGCATTCTCCCCGTGCGGCAAAGTCTAAAAATCCTACTAATGGGAGAAGAAAGTCTTTGTGTATGTGAGAAAAGACAGAGCCAGGGAATATGTCGAAAAATGACCTAAGAGCAAGTTCAGGTTTACTCCAGAAGAACAAATACACAAATCTTAAAAAAAAAAAGTTTCACCTGCCACACATCCTTGGGGAGATTGATTCAGCCATGACCAGAGAGGATTTGGTACCAGCATCGCATGATCCAGGTTCTCCGGCACCGTTATCAGAGAGTTGGGGGCTTGGGTGCAGTGGGAAATGCACAGTTTGCTCATGTTTGGGGGGCCTGGCTCATGAGGGACTATGAAAGGATGAAATCGTGGGTCCAGGAAGAAATGGAAAACAGCTCTAAGCGTATAGAAGCTCATTAAGTGGCACACATCTTAGGTCTGGTTCATTTTGGCGTGCAGGGTTTTTGTTTATTTGCAAGTTTTCATAATAAGGTTTATAATAGGAATTTTAAGAAGAAATGAAAACACAGATTACATGGAGAGTTGGGTAGGGTTGCTGGAAGTGCATATGGGGGTGGGGAGCTAGGCCAGGGATAGACAAGAGCTTGCCTAGCACCCATGAAACTCTGAATTCCATCCCCTGCAGTGCAAAAAAGTAAAATGTGTAGGACAGCACCTGCCTTCTAATATGTTCAAGAGGTCAAGGAGACAGAGGACTCATGGGTGCTGCAGTACTCAAGGATAATGGTGCTAATGACTGGTCAGGTTGATGCAACCGCAACTGTAGCGCCGGACCACTGTACATTCATTGGGCGGCAGAGACTCTGTCACATGCCTCGTGGGTGGGAACTGACTTCTGACAGTACTGATGATGAACTGAATTGACATTTCCCTTAGAATCATGTTTGGTGCTCAAGCATAGCACTCAACAGGTCCCACAAGGTTATGAGGCCTCTGAAACCCTCTGAGCCGTGTATTCTTTGGCAATGATGTCTCCACAGCAAGTTCTTTAGACCTTATGTGTCTCATTGTGGGGCACTGTAGTTCTGAGGCCGCTCTTAAGGCCTCTACCCCGTTGCTTCCCCAAAGGTTCTCCTACCAAGCAGTCTCACCTTGGGAGTTTTCAGTGCAGGCAGCAGTAAAAAGAACACCATGCTCGGGGATCCTGCAGAGAATTCCAGGCCTCATGATAACACCATGCTCTGTAAACACCCTGAGTACTTTTTGGCTAGCCAGGAGTCTACACATGTGGTCATTTTGGTTTATCGTCATGGAAGCTTCAGGAGGCAGCAATTTCAGTGAGGCTGAATATGGCTTCCCCAAGGCGAAGAAGGGGGTGCCATCAATGAGAAAGTGGTGCTCACCATACACTGAACTTGACAGGGACCGGATTCTTAACTACTCAGTCTTTGGAACTAGGAACTTCAGTGTTCACAAGCCACCTAGCCTATGGCATTTTGCTATATCATCCAAGACTTAATATTTTCCCCTGCAATCCCATTTTTGATACTACAGTCACCTTAGTCCAGTCCTAAGCAAGTGATTTGAAGTCCCACATTAGTGGAATCTGATCTTTGGAGTTGACCAGTACGCCAGTGTGCTCCAGGGCAGTCCCTGTCCTATATGACGTCACTCTTGCCTGCCGTCTAGGAAAATCTGTGTTCTGGGCAAACCTCTGCATGCATGAACACAACAAAATACCAGATAATGGAGAATTCAGGGGTCCCAGGTAAGTGGAAGAGCTGCCAAGTGGACTGTCTAGAAGAATCCAACATGGTGAAGACTCATACCTAAACCCTCTCTCTCACCTCCCTTCTTTAGAGACATCAGGGCAGTTCATGGTATAGAAGTGCCACATGCATTTCAAGACATACCATCTTTTAGTGGGAGAGGGGTGTTGAGTATTAAACTCAACATGAGGAACATGCTAAGCACATACTCTATCAATGAGTTACACCCCCAGTCCTAACAAATACCTCTTTGAATCTTTTAACCCCCAGGTCAAGGATATATTGCTATTACCATCCCCACTCTAAGTGAGGAAACTGAGGTACAGAAGGGTTGGGTTAATTGCTCTAGAGACACAGTTTCTAAGTGACAACCTTTGCAAGGCTGCTGAGTTGGTGGTCTCAGGACTCACTGTGCTAGGGTGTCCCTCTTAAGCTTCCATCCATCCTCCTAGGGCTCTAATGCAGTCCAGAAACCCCTCCTAGCTTCCAGGAACCTTTTCTTAAGCCAGCTGTAAGCAGAGTCCTTAACTAGAGCCCCAGCGTGCAGGAAAGTTGGGAAGGGCACTTGGGAGTAAATTCTGTCCCTGTGGTCAGGTCACTTTCTTTACTCGTGGCTCTTCATGCCAGGAGAGAAGGTGTCAAAGCCACTTCCCAGTGGCTTCCAAGATAAAAATGAATGGGACACACCCTTTAATCAGAGCTCCAGCCTTCCTGGCTCATGAAATAGTTTTATTGGCATTTACAAAATAACAGTCTGTTGCTACCTAAAGGGCACCATTGTCTTTGACAATAACAACTCTTTATAGGCAATAAATGTTCTTTTAAAAAAAAATAACCAAAAGGAAAAAATATCTTAACTGCATGTAAACTAATGTAAATCTCCCATTGCCTCCACAGCTAGATGGGTGGAAAAGAGGTAAAAAGGCATTTTACGGAGTCCACAGGGAATTCTGAGAGTAAATCCAGAAACAAATTGATTTGTGTTCATTTTTCATGCTGGTAACTCATAGTGCTCAGACATCGGTGTCATATACTAGGAGTGGAGGGGCCCCTCAGGGCTAACCCGGGTCCTAATACTCCCACCCAGAGCAGGGAGCCTCTCTACTCTGCCAGAGAAAAGCAAGGGGCATGTCAGCTCAGAGTGTGGGCATGACAGTGTCTGTCTTTGGCCCCTGCCTCATAGCAACATCTCCCAAGTACATGCCTATTTACCACGCAGCCCCGCCCTGTTGAGACCCACAGAGCCAACCCTACCTGTGCCCTTTTTGGTGGTGAGGACTGCTTAGGACCTGTTCTCAGATTGCTCATAGCAGGTATGGGAGACACGCCTGTCACCTCAGTACATGCGCGCGCGCACACACACACACACATACACAAAGAGAATTCCTTGCCAACAGGGGAGAAGCATGGAAGGCTGCGACCATTCAGCCTGATCCAGTTTTATAGGATCTATAGGTCACCACAAAGGCCAAAGTTCTTTGAAGCACATCCTGTCCCTTCTCAGAACATGAGTCCCTCCGTTAGCCCTGCAGCTTCCCTTCCTTGTCATAAACTACTGGCAAAGCTGAGGGAGCATGTGAGGTTGGTGTCTCACCAACAGCCACGCAGCCTCTTTGACTGATGACCAGCAAAGAGCCCAGCTAGGGTAGAGGAAGGCCACCGGCGGCAGCTCTCTCTCCTCCTCCACCAGGGAGCGGTCCTGGGACTAAGCTCTGGACAAGGACACAGAAAGTAAAGACTCTCTTATCCCAACAGAAAAAGGGGGAGCTACGGCAGCCATCCAGTGAGTGCAAGGTCAGGAGCAAGGAAGCCCAGAGAGGGTGACCCTGGGCTCTGCTGAAGATGGCTGGTCATGTGGCTGTCTCTTAGGAGTGGAGACTAGCCACCTCCAGTCTACTCTGAGACACACCTCTGCCCCTCTAGATGGCTCAGGTCCCATGGATCCCACGTTCTCCAACATGAAGCTGAACATACCCTAACTAGTGCCGCCCTGCCAATTTTATGGTAGCCAAATTCATTCATAGACACATTTATTTTGCATCAATTAGTGCAGGGCATTGCAGATGATGCTGTTCGCCTCAGGGCAAACCTTCATGGGGAGCACTGGTAGATGAGGCTAATTGTGAGACACACCCAAGTTCTGAGACCTGGTCTGGCACGTGATACTCCATCTTGACTGCCAACCTGACTGGATCCAGAATCAGCTAGAGAGAAACTTCTGGGAATGCCTAAGAGGAACTTCCCTTGCCCTGTTTCTTTGACGTGGAAGAGCCGCCCCACATATGGGCAGCAGCTTCCGGTTAGAGCCTCCATAAAGGAGGTCTGAGGAAACAACTTCGATTTTCGCCGTACTGCCTTTATGTCTTATTGCTGACGTCATCGGCTCGGCTGCCGCCACGACTGCATCCCCTTGCTGGTACTGGAACTCAGTGTCTTCTGGCTCCCACTGCACACTGAAGACCACTGGCTTCCCAGGACTCCCCCGGCCCTTAGCACCAGATGGGGACAGCCGAGGCATCCAGCCTCGTGGACCGAGCAGCTTACTCGAGAGTTAAGCTTCTACAGTATGAGAACGAGAACAGCTGCTATTGGATTACCCAGACTACAGCAAGTAAGCCATTTAATTACTCTTTTAATATATATCTAGGTAATCTTTTAATTAATCTATTAATAATAATCTTTAATAATCAATTCTGTTCTTTTAGACATCCCTGACTATGTGTGAGGAAACGGGGTGTCTGGAGAGTTCTATTTCGAGACGGGCATTCGGGGAGAGAACACAGGGAAGGCTGCGTGGAGGAGGTGGCGTTATGAACTAGGTCTGGAAAGGAGCCCATGATGGAGGTGAGAGAGGCCTCTGGCCATGAAGACCCTCAGCTACCACACTTAGCAGACTGGTGAGCAGCAAGCTTTAATTGTACATCAGGTTCCCAGGTCAGGGAGCAGAGAAGAAGAATCCTACTTCCTTAGGATGGGAGAGGATGGGGCACTCCCGATCCACTCCCGCCTTCCCCACCACTTGCTGCTGAGGAAGAAGCCCTGCCCTATTTTTAGGAGAAAGAGTGATGAGAACACTCTTTGGAGTTTCTAATAATAAGAACGCGCTTGAGGTTTCTAATAATAATAACAATAGCCAGCACTTATCGAACAAGTACCACAGCCCAGCAATGAATCTGCTAATTTCATGGAAGCCTCACAAGTCTGTGAGGTGAGGACTATTATTAGCCATGTTTAACAGATGGAGACAGGAGAGAGGGAGAGGTCTGGAGTCCTGTCCTAGATTACAGATCTGGTAGGAACACACTTGGCTGTGTCCAGACTCCCACTGAAACGCCAGGAGGCCAGTCGTGGGGTTCTTAAAGAGGGCAGCTGCTGAGGTTCCCCTTCAGTAGATAATGCGTGGCCACACACCAGGGCTAGAGGAGGCTTGGCCATCTAACTCTGGCTTGGCATCAAACTGCACACAATGCATGGTCCTGAAGCATGTGTGGCTTGGGCAGCACCGTGCGTGGCTAGCAGTCTCTGCTTATGGCCCTGCCTCCGCTGCTGGGTGTGACCATGTGACCAAATCCTGGCCAATGGCTTTAAATGGATGTGTTGTGTGGCTCCCCTTGGGAAACTTCCTTAGAAGACAGCTGGTGACCATCTGTCCTTTCTTGTGTAGTGCTGCTGAGGTCCTGCTGGGGGAATGTGGAAGAGGGCTGAGGAAGCAGACACCTCAGTCCAAGAAGTTACCTGGGGGTATGGGCTGCCTGTCCTGACACTTCACACTGGGGAGAAACCAGCCTCTCTGCTGCTCGATCTTGGGCATCTGGACCTCTGCTCTACACAACTGCACTGCCTCCGAATAGCTGCGTACAGGAGGAAACCATCTGGCAGACAAGGCCATCTGGAGACTCACAGCCAGGGTGCCATGGAAAGGGCTGATCTTTTCCTAGCAAGCCTCAGGCCAGCCTCCTCTAGGTCGCTGTGCCAGTCTGTCATTGACATCTCTGTCCACACCTGCCTCTCAGGGTCTTATATGAAACTGGCTGTCCATGCCCAGGGGCAGCACAACACATGGGCATTTCTGATGGGCTTTTCATGATGACAGGATTTCCCCGCCTCACCCATCATCAATAAATAACCACTGGGAAGGACTGCAAAGAGACTTTCTCTATAGTGTGCCTCAAAGGTGACAAGAAAATGTCACAAAGAATGGCCCCTTCCTCTGCGCCAGGCAATGTTACCAGATGGGCTACACACATGATTTTCTAGCTTCAACACATGTACAAGGGTAGGTTTCTTATCACCAATCGTTCATAGATGAACAAATAGGTTGGGGGGGCAGTGACTTGCCCAAGTCACACTTCCGGTAAGGGGCTGAGACCAGATTCATACCCAGGACTGCCAGAGCCCAAACCCCTCCTCTTTGATCCCAGCCCCATGGTACATAGGGGTAATAATTGATTTCTTCTTTGGCTAGTGAAGCTTAAGCTTCTCGCCAGCTTAAGGAACTAAGGAGGGAGTGAGGGAGGGAGGGAGGGAGGGAGGGAGGGAGAGAGAGAGAGAGAGAGAGAGAGAGAGAGAGAGATATCTTAGAGACTGAGATAAACTGAACCTGAGGAAAGCATTGCCCCAGAGGAGGACTATAATGCCACCTGATTGGCTCCTCTGGCATATCCTTGGCTAACAATGGCTGGATATGGCTGTTATCTTTTCTGGGACACCTTATAATTCCTACAAAGTAATCATAAAGGAATTTATTACAAAGCATCAACTTTGTCATAAAAGGTCTTTGAGCAATAATTATTCTCATTCAAGGAAACCTATAAAATCGATTTCTGCTTTCATTTTAGGGCCAAATGAAAGTCAAGAGAAAAGTCTCCTTTCACCAGACTCAAAGCTGCCGTTTGCTCCACTGGAGCCAGCAGGCTTTGGCAGGTGTCTCTTTGCCCCTGTGCTCGACCACCCCCACCTTCCACCAAGCTCCAGTTCCTTCTCCTTGTCCCACCCAGGATGGACAACTCACAGCTGGGACTCGGCTCCCCTAACACAGTAACAGTGGACAGAGGGGAAGAGAGCCATTTCCACACGGAACAAGACAAAGTGATGGGGACAGGGTCCCCAGTTGGTTTCTGTGATCAGTTTCCCTATACATAGAGAGCTTGTCTGTCCTAGAATGGAGGGAGCAGAGCTAGCAAAGATTTGTGGACAGCAAGAATGCTTTGCCAAGTACTTCCAGGTTAGAGGGAAGAGTCTATATTTTCCCCCCTCTGTCAAGTGTCAGCTTAAGAGCTGTCAAACTTTCCATAGAGGATCAGGTAAAAAATATTTAAGGCTTTCAGGTTCATATGGTCTCTGGTGCAGCTAGTCAACACTGTCATTGTAGCAGAGAGCCAACCAGACATAATACAGAAGTGAACACACAGATCTGTGTTCCAATAAATCTTTATTCATAAAAACGATTAAGAGGCATCATTTGGCCTGAGGCTGTTGACTGATGGATGAGTCCTGCCACATTTAACACTATCTTCAAAGGGAAAATGACAATGCCAAAAAGACAAACCCAGAAAATTATTTTCATTTCCACCATCATTTGTGATACCACTCTCCCACCTGGACGGTAGCCAGGCCTGATTCCTTAACCTCCGAGATCAGATGAGATAAAATGTGTACAGAAAGGTATGGCCATTGTCAAAGCTTCCATTTTGTAAAACGTGTAAATATAAATAATGACTCTAACAATGAGAGAATACTTAATTTGAACCACAGAGAAGAAAATTAAGTACTTTTGTGCTGAGATAATGAAATTATTTTTCTAAGTCCAAGATTATAAGTGTGAGGAGAAAGACTGGGAAGACAGGAGCCATTGAAGACACCTATTTAAAGTTAATTTTTCATCTCCCACGGCTTGCCGTCAACTAGGTAATGGCTTACCTAACACGATTATAAAAGATGGTTTCACTCTTTGGTCAGGGAGCTAACTACGAAGCTAGTAATGGTTTCAGTATTATCTCAAGTCAGAATGGAAATGATTTGTACTATGGTAGAAGGGAAAAGAAAAAAAATGCTAAAGAATTGTTAATTAACTTCACTGTTTCGCCACAAATGCTAGGAGTATTAAAAACAAGACTGCTGAAGTGCAAACATCAGGACTTAATGAACAATGGGAGGTAATTGAAGGAACAGAGAATGACTTCATCGGGACAGTGGGTTGTTTAATTGCGGGGATAATGGATCTTCGGCAAGGACAAGCTAAATGAAACCGAAGGGGCCGGAGAGAGGTAAGGAGCTCCCAGAAACTCCTGCTGGGGATAGCCAGAGTTGGGTGAGATACGGAATGTTGTATTCAACACGCGGCGTCCCCGAACGGTGACCACTGGAGAGAAGGCCGACTCGGCATCGGCTGGCGGAAACCTTCCACAAATCCCAACAGTCATATTAATGTTTCGGCAGGCGTGTCCCCGAGCTTTGTCAAGAATTTCTAATAATCTTAAAGACTTTCGTCCCGATATGAGAATGTGTGTAATAATGCGTTTGTCGGCACACTTTCCCAGGGTGCCAAGATGCCATCTCTCTGATACAGCCGACTGGCAAGCTCATTTCCTGGGTTTAAGAGTTCAAAAAAAACATTTCTTGCTTAACTTTGATTACAAGTCACACTCCCCCTGCTAATTCAGCACGCCTGTTACGAGTTATTGATTTTTCTCATCTCCTCTGGAAACGGAGGCAAATGTCCCTTCCTCCCGGTTGGTACACTTTCCTGGAACTGAAATCCTCCGAGTTGCAGGCCCTCGACTGTGCAACCACGCTCCTGACGTGCGGGAGTGTGGGCGAGGGCCAGGCACTTAACAGGCCAACGCCGCCTTGCAAACTTTCAATTTTGCAGTGGAGGAAAACAGGATCAATAGGTCTTATTCCACTCTGGCTGTCAACCCTGAACTCATGGGTGGCGTGTGAGGGCGTGTGGAGAGTAGCGGTCTTCTCTTTCTCTTTCATGCAGGGTCTCATGTAGCCTACCCTGGCCTGAAACTTCTCTAGTCGCTGTGGATGACTTTGAACTTAAATTACATTTGTTTATTAACTTCTGTGTGCATGTAGCGGGTAGAGGGCGACTTGCGGGGCCAAGTTCTCTCCTTCCTTCTACCACGTGGGTGCCTAGAACTGAACTCTGGTTGCAAGGCTTTGCAGCAAGCCCCTTTACCTGCTGAGGCACCCTGCCAACACGCAGTCTTTCTGAACCAATGCTCCACCTTCGTTTTTTGAGACAGTGTCTTCGCTGAACTCGGAGCTATAGCAAAGCCTCCAGGAACTGCCTGCCCCCTCTAGCACTGGGGCTACAGGTGTGCCTCAGTGACTCATTTTAACGTGGGAATTGGAGACCCGAACTCGGGTCATCGTGCTTGTCCAGCCGTCTCCTGCCCCAAACTCCTGCACATGAAAGGAAGTCTAGGGTGGTGTGTGGAGATAAGCCCTCCCCAGAAGCATGAGAGAGAGAGAGAGAGAGAGAGAGAGAGAGAGAGAGAGAGAGAGAGAGAGAGAGAGCGCTGAGATTGGGGTCATTTGACTTGTCAGATGCCAGCCTGGTGCTCCAGGTGCTAGTGTCAGAGTGACCCTTGCTTAGGCAAGTTGGAGCATTATCCTCTCAAGACATGATGAACAAGATCTGACTTCTTAGAATGATTTGTTAGTATAATGATTTCAAATACAAAAAAAAAAAAAACTGGCAGCATGGTTTTATGTTCTAGAAAACACCCTACACCTCAGAGAGGAAGCATCCTAACCTAGGAGGTGCGAAACCTAACTCATAGTTTGTTGTGTGAGGCTGTTTCTGAGTGTGCATCCAAATGGGCTTTTTCTCAACCAGGCCCTGCCATGGCACTGATTTTTGCTATTTCAAGTTGTTCATGTGACTGTTCTGGAGCTTTCTGATCGTCCTTGATAGAATTTACACACACACACACACACACACACACACACACACACACAGACTCCAATTTGTTCACCACACCTTGGTTTTCAATTACATAAACCACCTCAGGCAAATTTAGCAAAGCAATGCTCTGTGAGCTACCAGGAATGCAGCCTCGGAGGGCAGGAGGAAGGGATGTGGGGACGGGGAGGAAGGGCGTTAAGAAAGGGAAACTTAGAAAGGTTCAGGCTGGGAGAACTTGTATGAAAGGAAATGAAGAACCTTAAATTTTTTATATTGACTTTCTGGTAATATTTTTGTCACACAAGCTTAGACTGGATCATGCGCCTTCTCTCTGGCTTCCAGTATCATCAGCCACCATGAAAGGGAGGTTGGAAAAGGAAAGGCATTAGAAAAATCATCCTTAAAGGCGAAGGCCCTAGGAGAGGACCCCACCTCTCTCTGCCAGGCTCCACTCTCTCCACTGCGCAGGAATCGGAGAAGGACAGAGCATAGATTTAATTTTCCATTGCATTTCCCCCAGAGGCTATAAAAGGGGGAGAAACCCAAAGAGTCGGCATGAATTTCTTCAACATCAAGTAACATTTTGACGATGAGTTGAGTGCTAACTAACCAGAAACACGTGGTCTTAATTGACTGCGAAATAAATAATGTTTCCAAACGGGAAGGAGAGAACGCGCTCAGATGTAAAGCGCTGGAAAAAGACTCCAACCTCAAAACTCAGGGCAGCTGACTCCCTCCCCGTCTCCTCACCACAGCCCCAACTCTTCTTGGCTCCTCCCTGTCTGGTGCAATGTTTCACAAGAAGAAATCTTGCTGGATCCCCCAAAGCTGCGTTCACTGGTGACCAGCATTTCTCTCTGGGGAGCCCTGGGAGGGCTGTTTTCTGTTGTAACAGCCTCACCTGGCGCCGGGTGATTTCTATGGGGAAGAGGTGGATTGAATTCCTAGTTCTGGCACCTTGCTAGCCTCTCCCTGCTGCCACTGAGAGCCACGTGCTGCTTTGGGCTTGGTGGCCAAGCAGCAAGAAAGACCACAGGGTGAGAAAGGAGGCAATAGAGTAAGCCAGGGACCCCCAGGTGACTTACATCATGTCCACGGGAGGGTAGAGCTCTTCTTTGTGTTTGCATGTGCGCGTGCATGTCTTGTCTGTGTGTATGTGTGCACACACATGTATCTGCATGTTTGTGCAGCATGTGTGTTGTACACACTTTAA